CTGGATGATTCAGACTCCTAATGTAGATGCTGAAAACAAGTTCTCTAAAGTCAAGCATGAAATAAAGTGATAATTGAGGTACTCTGTGTGTAAAGTTGCAGGGTTTTTTTTGTATTAAGCAGAATGTTTAGAAATTGCAAGGATGAAAATGAGTGGCCATTGGAGCTAAGCTCTACTCCAGGAGCAGGACTGAAGGACAACTGTCCTGCAGAGTTCAGCTCCTGCAGCTTTAAACTGCTGCTGAAGACATTGATAAACTACTCTATATAAACAGCGTTGTTGTTTTTTAAGTTGCCAACCACTGCCAGTATTTTTGATAATTCTCACAAAACTTTCATGGTCCCCAGATTATTTTGTTGTATGACAATCTGAACATGCAATATAACAAAAGAAGGAACCGAACTTTATTATATGTATTCTTTTGAGTCACCGCTTGAATGAGGGCAAGTTTACAAAAAGCGAAATTTTGAACAAAAAGCTGAGAAAATCTAATTTTTTTCAAAGACTACAACGTGCATAATCAATGCTTTTATCGCTTGTTTCTGCTCTTTTTTTTCCTGTGTTTTGCTCCGGAGATTCTGTGCTCTTTCAGAAGTTGTGTAATAGCGCCACCTACCGTATAACAGTGCAAACACGGAAAGCTGGAAAATTCTGTCATTGGCGGGGAAAGAGTTAAATGCTCATTGGATGCAAATGCAACAGAGACCAATCAGTTTGTGCCATGTAGTGAATTATGAGATAGCTAGCAGATTGCATTAAGGACCAATCAGCCTGAGTTTCATGACTGAACTAGATATCTAGATATCTATAGCTTTGTGTGGGTTCTACTCCTCATCCCTAACACTGTGTCAGTCAGTTTAGCTCCATCTGAAGTAGAGCAGTGTTTCTTTATTCTGCAAGCGTGAGTGTTGTTTCCTCTTCGTCCACTTGGATGAGCCTGCGTGAGGGTGTGTTTGTGTGATAACAGTGGTTAAACAGCCACAACCATCATCATCATCATCAGCAGCATCTGTGAGCTTTATCTGCGGGTGTCCACTGAGAACCAGTGAAGAGTCCTTCTGACCTACAATTACATCAAATATAGACATTACTGTTGTACTTTCTCTTTTGGTGAAAGACATCTGTTGGTCTGCTGTTGTGTATCCCTTCTCAAGAGACCACAACCAGAGAAACCTCTTCTGTTCGTCTTTAAACACTTCTATCCTCCCCTTCACATCTAGGGCTAATATGAAGAAGACTTACCACAGTTTTTAGATTGAGCTTGGATAACTGCTGAAGGCACCACCATGACTCTGCAGTAAAGACCCACTTTGACCAGCATGAATTTCAATGCAAAAACCGCTGGTCATAGTGTCTCTGCTGAAGCCGGCTGAGCTCACGATGCTCAGGCTAGTTAAGGATACAAGTGGGGACACAACCAGCATCCAACGCAACGGTCTCCTGCTGAACAACTATGCTTGTAAGAGATTATCACACATGTAGCATAACCCTGGCTCTTGAGGGACATATCTGACACTTCTCCCAGCCTCTTTCCAGAAAACAGCACTGCATTCATGTTCATCTCCACTCCAGACGGATGCTCCAGTACCAGTATGGTTTACCATTCTTGGCCTTCACATATCACTATAATGGTAATCTTTGCATCAGTTTAACATTCCTTTAAGTTGGCTATCAACCTATCAGAAGTGTATTACATGTAAAAACTCGCCAACAGTTAAAACTTCTTGTTCCAGGATGATGATTTCTGGACTTAACCAAAGAAAAGTATGCAATGATTCATACCGTCTACATTGTTCAGCTGTGTAAAGATAACAAGTACTCACTTGAATTTAAAAAATATCTGCAATTCCAGTTTCCAGGTTTTAGGTTTCTAAGGTATTTCTGTCTGCAATGCCACAGGTGACTATCAAAATAATCTGATGGACGGATAAAAGTGAAGCAGTGACTTTGCTGTTTAAGTTTTAACAAGTTATTAAAACATTTGAATCCATGATTGTACTTTTGAAGCAGATTAACAGAACTTTACATGGATTCCCACCACACCTATAGTACATACATTTCATTTTAAACCTACTATAGATTCATCTTCAACATCAAATATACACTGACGAACCAAAACATTAAGAACAATCGCAGGTGAAGCGAATATCGTTGATCATCTCCTGACAAGGCCGCAGATTAAGATCTGGATGCAGGAGAGATGGGCAGGAATAAAGATCGAGCGACTTTGACCAGGTCCAGGCTGTTATGGCAAGGCGACTGGCTCAGAGTATCTCTGAAACTCAAGGCTTGTGTGTTGCAGTGCTGAGGATTTACCAACAGTGTCCGAGGAGGATCAAACACAAACCGGAGACAGTGTGTTGAGCAGTGAAGGCTATCCCGTCCGGACCGAGCCAACAGAAGGTCTACTGTGGCACAAGTCACACACAACTTTAATGATGTTATGGGAGGAATGCGTTGCACTCTGCTGCGTATTTTGGCCGAGTAGACCAATCAGAGAGCCTATAATGACCGCCTGTCCACCGGCGAAACCAGCACAACTGGACCTTGGAGTAGGTCGTCTGGTCCAATGAGTCCCGTTTTCTGTCACATCACGTGGACTGCTGTGTACATGCGCGCCGTAATGCATCAGGATCACTGTGGGACGACATGAGCTGGGATCTGGGAGACGTTCTGCTGGGAAACCCTGGGTCCAGCCATTCATGTGGACGTCAGTCTGACCCCTACATCTGCCTGAACCTGCCTGCAGACCAGCCCTTCATGACACCGCTGATCCCTGCTGGAAGTGGCTCATCCTGCAGGATAATGTACCGTCACATTGCACACACTGAAGGTTTTGCCCTGGCCTCCTAATTCCCCAGATCTCAGTTGAGCATGTGCTGGACCAACAAGTTCAATCAGGACACCTTCGGGGCTCTTGTGGAGTCCAGGCCTCGGCGGGTCGGGGCGGGTCGGGCAGCGCGTGGAGGACCAACAGCATATTAGGCAAAGTGGTCATAATGTTTGTGCTCATTGGAGTGTGTATAATCACATATCTGTGCTGGGTAAAACGTAACCGCTGTATAACTCATTGTGAACATTACTGCTCAGTAAGCCTTAGGTTTTTTTTTTTTTTTTTTTTTACACTTTTTCAACATTGTACTGAAGAACCAAATCCTTATTCTAGTTTAACAACCTATCAAAAATTAAAAGTAGCACCTCAAGCGGCACTACTGCTAATAAAAAAAATATAGAATATTATCAACGTCACTCACTATTAAATAGTTTGCTATTTGTCTACATGCAGAGACAAAATAGAGAATGGCACATGTGTGTACATATACTGTGGATGTGTGTCTCCATCTAGTGTCAGAAAGGGTGAAGAGGAAGCACTTCTCAAGACAACACCGCAATAAACGAGGGAATTTGATTTTTTGAGTAGCCTTTTATGCAAGGAACCTGTGATTCATATCTATACTAGAATTTGTGAAGCTGTCATTTGTTTAAAGAATAAGGCAACGTCTGCTGCCTTGAGTACTAAATATTGACTACATAGGCGGATGAATAACACACACCTGTTCCACCTTCTGCAATCTCATTTCAACACAGGAGATGCTCAGGAAACACAGTGCTGTAAATATAAAAAAGTTTGCTTCTCTCTTATTTTCTGATTGGTTGCAGATCTTCAACCAGAATCTATGAATAAAACTATGAACGTCACAGTCCATGAACAAAAAAACACAATGACACACATCTTTCATGTTTTTATTAAAAATAGTTATACAACACCCAGTGTGAAATGACTGTACCTTATGAACTGGTAAAAAAAATCCTTCTTCATTTAATAATCAGAAACTACTCAAAATAAATGGCATAAATAATAACCATAAACGGCATGTTAGTTTGTTTTAATTAAGGTTTTTTTTACTATTGTTGTAGAGTAGGGGTGTCCAGTCCTGCTCACACACACCTGATGATCCTGAAGACCTTCGCAGTGCATCACGTGTGTTTACTGTTACTCTAGGAGCAGGAGCAAACACCCCTGGTGTGGAAACACATTGCAATAAGTCCCATTTGTTAACACTAGTCAACTACATTAGTTAATATAAACAATTAAAATACTTCAAAAGCATTCATTTCAACATTTACTAATACATTTTCCATCATCTGTTAATCATTTTTGGAATGAACTTTTTTTTTTAACTAGCATTAACAAAGACGAATAAACTGTAACATTAACAAAGGTTAATAAATACTGTAACAGCTTTCCATTAAGCCGCTGTGGTATTGGTAATAGGAGTGAGCAAGTAATTAACGCGTATAAACTCCATGAACACAGATGTAAGATGCAAACAATGTCTTTTATCTCTTGTGCTCTAATTATTAAACGTTGCTTCCATTTAGCTTCTTGTGGTGTCTCATTATTTGTGGTTCAAAGCATACTAATGTTAAATCCATACCTTGCAGATACAGCGCATGAACATTGTCCATATTCCATATGTCCTTGAACATCACTCTTTATCAGTGAAGCGTGGTTAAGCACCATTAAACTCAATCCAACACATAACAATCTTATAGGCACGTCAGCATGGTATTCCATGGCTTAACAGGGTCAAAATACTGTGTGCTTCCCCACTACCAAAACACCTGTTGTCTAATTACCCATGTGCTCCTAATATATCATTGTCAGAGCGCCACCCAATGGACAAATATATGATTGCATTAAAATGGCTCTTACAAATACTGTAACAAATGTATTGATCAATGTTAGTTAATGCATTAACATTAACTAATAGGACATTATTGTAAAGTGTAACTGTAAAGGAGTAATTAACCTGAGCGTTGCACCGACTGTTGGAGACAAAATGTCATGTCCACATAAAGATTATGTGTGATAATGTTATGAATTTCAACTTTCCACATAAAAATAGCCCTATAAATTACACATTACCTTGAAGTCCTTTCTCGTCCTGAAATGCAGCCCACAGCTTTACCATCAACATGAACATGATGAGTAGAGTTCAGGAGGGGTCGGTGAAGACTTCTCTCCAGAACTGTGTGGCGGTGAAGTTTCTGTTCCTGCGCAGCATCAGTCCGAGCGCTATGGCTTCTCTCTTGGACTGCTCATAGCTGGACCTCCACATCTGCCGAAGAGGCGAGCTTGAGCTCTCGGCAAAGTCAAACAGTTGTGGAGATGGGCACCTGAGGTGGCTCTCTTCAGCCCGCCAGACTTTAGACGGCAGCTTCTGTCATCGACCGGATAAAAGACAACCAGTTAACAATAGAAAAACAGTTTGAATCAACTCAACTCAACTCAAGTTATATCAGATCAACAACTTACCTCAACTAAACTAAACTAAACTCAACTCAACTCAACTAAACTAAACTAAACTAAACTAAACTAAACTAAACTCAACTAAACTCAAGTTATATAAGATCAACAACTTACCTCAACTAAACTCAACTCAACTCAACTCAACTCAACTCAAGTCAAATCAACTCAAATCAACTCATGTTATATCAGCTCAACAACTTACCTCAACTAAAATAAAATAAAATAAAGTCAAATCAACTCAACTAAACTCAACTTACCTCAACTAAACTAAACTAAAGTCAAGTCAAGTCAAGTCAAGTCAAGTCAAGTCAAATCAACTCAAATCAACTCAAATCAACTCAACTCAACTCGTTATATCAGCTCAACAACTTACCTCAACTAAACTAAACTAAACTAAAGTCAAATCAACTCAACTTACCTCAACTCAACTCAACTCAACTCATGTTATATCAGCTCAACAACTTACCTCAACTAAACTAAACTAAAGTAAAGTCAAATCAACTCAACTTACCTCAACTCAACTCAACTTACCTCAACTAAACTTAACTTACCTCAACTAAACTCAACTCAACTCAAGTTATATCAGCTCAACAACTTACCTCAACTAAACTAAACTCAAGTCAAATCAACTCAACTCAACTCAACTTACCTCAACTCAAGTCAAATCAACTCAACTTAAGTCAACTTAACTCAACAATTTAACTCAACTCAACAATGTATTTTAACTCAACTCAACAATTTATCTTAACTCAAAACAAGTAAATGATGAGCGAAAAACATAGGTGAGTGATCTGGACATATCCTGTCAGAAACATCCAGCCATTACCTTTTCCTGCCTGTGGATATTCTCCCAGACCCTGTTGCACACCATGCACTCAAAGACGTCGATGAAGTTATCCTGACCGATATCCTGAACACCCCACGGACGTTCCTTCAGTTCTGTCAGCAGATTCACATTCGAGATTTCACGCTTGTGCTTCCACTCCAGGAACTTGAGATATTCCCAGTCATTCTTGTCCAGCCTCTTTAGATACTGAGCGAGCTTCTCCGGCGGCTCGTCGGGATGGACCACGACCGCGCTCCTGTTATCCGGCAGCCACATGTGTACGTTGGGTGCTCCGTAATACACTGGCACAACACCTAGCTTGAGCGGCCTCCACAGTTTCTCAGTGATATAGTCCTCACAGATGGCGTTCTCAAAGGCCAGGACGAACTTGTACTGGGCGAGGATCTGGTAGAAATCCTGATCCTCCATTGCAGTGGAGTCTCTCAGATGGGGCGGCAGGTCTTTATTATGAAGACACTGGCCGTACGAGTCTACTTGAATGTGCTGCATCAGCTCTTGAACGTAGACATCTCTATCGGACGGCGGGTGGCAGTCCGACTGGACGTACACCACAGGCGCCAGGGTTTTCCTCAGCTGGTTTTTGTAGGCCAGAGGGAGCAGGTGTGTGTGTGCGGTGAGCGCGCGGATGCCCTCCAGGTGTTGTGTGGTGAGGGGCAGGTGAGCGTGCCGGCTGAAGCTCGCCGTGTGGTTGAACAGGGTAATGAGCGGCTCGTGGAAAAGCTTGTAGTTATTCTTGGGTGACTCCTCGTGAAACAGCGCCCACTGGTGCTGCTCGTGTCTCGGAAGAGGGAGGCTGTCGACGCTGAAATCGGTACCTGATGAAAGAAAACAAGTAGAAGGAAATGGGTGAGTTCAGTACTAGGTCTGTGAACACTATTTGTGCAATTATGTTGAATCTACTGGTCCTATGGTTTAATGTAAAAACTGAAAATAATATTAAGATTTAATAAATAAACATGGGATTGCTGTTCTAGGTGGATGAGCTTTTAGTAACGTGATCTCACATGAGATCCACCAAAAGCAAACCACAACATTCATGATGAAGGAGCTCCAAAAGTATATAAACAGCATAAATAAAGCAAACCACTATACAAACAAGAACCAACAAGGGACTAAACTAAACAGGGGTGTACACACACACACACAAGACTAAATGAGTCAATAAACGAGGAACAGGTGAACACAATGGGTTGCCATGGAAACACATAAACATTAGAAAAACTAGAGAAAACTAGACGCATGAACAAGGAGAACTAAAACAAAACCGAAACAGAGTCTGCGTCCAAAATCTTGTCTTTTTTGAACAAGTAATTACTTTGCTAAAAAAGTATGTTCTGTGTAGTATGAATTCAATTCACATTTATTTGTATAGCGCTTTTCACAACACATACGGTAGTTTCAAAGCAGCTTTACAGAAAATGCATGTTTCTACATTACAATCTAGGTTATTATTTTGGTTACAAGGTTATGAGATGCATTTTGCTTGCTCAAGCTATTAGAAAAGATGTAGAAATAACAGGATTCCTATTTAAAGGAAATAAACACAAAATATGTCTATATGCGGATGATATGATAAAGCAGCTTTGGAACAATCTACATTGTTAAAAGCGCTATATAAATGAAGATGACTTGATATTCTTATGACAATCTCCGACTCAGACTCAGTTTACTTGAACTTATGTCATGCCTTGAACAGTTTGGTTGGTACTCAGGATACAGATTAAATTTAGACAAAACTCAAACCCTCTCTTAATTATTAACCACAGGAGAACATACGAACAAAACAAATAATATTCAATATTTAGAAGTTATGTAACAAAAATGTATCCATATCAAATCCATAACAAAAGACCTAAAAGTAGATTTGGACAGATGGATGGCTGCCCCTGATCAGCTGTATAATCCAATTGAAATGATAAGAATGAACGTTTCACCGTGATTACAGTTTCTATTCCAATCAATCACGGCCTGTAGAGATTCCCAAAACACAGTTTAATGACTGGAACTGCATGATCTCTATATTCATACGGCAAAATCAGAAGCCTAGGGTGAGACTTAAAACACTACAGTTATCACAGGAGAGGAGGACTGTCTCTTCCCTGTTTGGAGGATTATTACACACCAGCACAGTTGAAATATCCAGTTTGATGGTGTAATGAGTATGCAGCGAGATGGAGAGAATAGCCGGACATTCCCCTCCCCTCCTTATTAGGGGATCAAGCACTCTAATTAATGGAGCCACTGGACGATGGTTCCTCTCAATATTTGGTTAAAGGAATGTGAAAAAGTTGAGCTCGAGAAACAAACACGGTTGTTAAGATGGGTGGCCTATGACAAAGATGTTAAACCTGCACAGTTGGATTCAAGGTTTAAACAACAGACCCTAACCCTATACCCTACAATCTCACCCAATACGAAACATGAAAAACTGACCAATCAGAATCAAGGACTAGAACTAACCGTTTAATAAACTGAAATAAGACTGATATTGGGATTCGAGATGAAGTACAGCTTCAGTACTGTGTACTTAGGAAACACACCAACTGATCTTAATACTCAAGACAAGTACCTATACCTAAAGTAGTATTGGTTGCTAGTAAGAAAGCAATAACTAAGAAATGGCTGAATGACAATCCACCAACAAAATACAGTGGATAGTGTTGTAAAAGATATGAATGATATGTAAAATCTGACCTTCTCGCTAAGATTAAACATGGATACATTTTACAAGTACTGGTCAAAATGGGTAACGTATAGGAGTGTGGATGGAACACCGTATCATTTACATATTGTAAATGAACTGCAATGTGTGTTTTATCATTATTAGTACTGATCATCTCTTCCTATTTTTCAGTATGTGAAATATTTGTCTAATGAAAATATTCTGGATTTGAATGATTTATGAGGGGACCTTGAACCTTTTATGGACTTGAAAGGACCATTACCAAATGTATGTCTGTCTCTCTCTCTCTCTCCTGTCTGTCTGTCTGTCTGTCTGTCTGTGTCTCCTGTCTGTCTGTCTCTCTCTCCTGTCTGTCTCTCTCTCCTGTCTGTCTGTCTGTCTGTCTCTCTCTCCTGTCTGTCTGTCTGTCTGTCTGTCTCTCTCTCTCTCCTGTCTGTCTGTCTGTCTGTCTGTCTCTCTCTCCTTTCTGTCTGTCTCTCTCTCCTGTCTGTCTGTCTGTCTCTCTGTCTCTCCTGTCTGTCTGTCTGTCTGTCTGTCTGTCTGTCTGTCTGTCTGTCCGTCTGTCTGTCTGTCTGTCTCTCTCTCCTGTCTGTCTGTCTGTCTGTCTCTCTCTCCTGTCTGTCTGTCTGTCTCTCTGTCTCTCCTGTCTGTCTGTCTGTCTGTCTGTCTCTCTCTCCTGTCTGTCTGTCTCTCCTGTCTGTCTGTCTGTCTGTCTGTCTGTCTGTCTGTCTCTCTCTCCTTTCTGTCTGTCTCTCTCTCCTGTCTGTCTGTCTGTCTCTCTGTCTCTCCTGTCTGTCTGTCTGTCTGTCTGTCTGTCTGTCTGTCTCTCCTGTCTGTCTGTCTGTCTGTCTGTCTGTCTGTCTCTCTCTCCTTTCTGTCTGTCTCTCTCTCCTGTCTGTCTGTCTGTCTCTCTGTCTCTCCTGTCTGTCTGTCTGTCTGTCTGTCTGTCCGTCTGTCTGTCTGTCTCTCTCTCCTGTCTGTCTGTCTGTCTGTCTGTCTCTCTCTCCTTTCTGTCTGTCTCTCTCTCCTGTCTGTCTGTCTGTCTCTCTGTCTCTCCTGTCTGTCTGTCTGTCTGTCTGTCTGTCTCTCTCTCCTGTCTGTCTGTCTGTCTGTCTGTCTCTCCTGTCTGTCTGTCTGTCTGTCTGTCTCTCTCCTGTCTGTCTGTCTGTCTGTCTGTCTGTCTGTCTCTCTCTCCTGTCTGTCTGTCAGTCTGTCTGTCTGTCTCTCCTGTCTGTCTGTGTCTCCTGTCTGTCTGTCTCTCTCTCCTGTCTGTCTGTCTGTCTATCTGTCTATCTGTCTGTCTGTCTGTGTCTCCTGTCTGTCTGTCTGTCTGTCTGTCTGTCTCTCCTGTCTGTCTGTCTGTCTGTCTGTCTGTCTCTCTCCTGTCTGTCTGTCTGTCTCTCTCTCCTGTCTGTCTGTCAGTCTGTCTGTCTGTCTCCCCTGTCTGTCTGTCTCTCTCTCCTGTCTGTCTGTCTGTCTATCTGTCTATCTGTCTGTCTGTCTGTCTCTCTCTCCTGTCTGTCTGTCTGTCTGTCTGTCTGTCTGTCTCTCTCTCCTGTCTGTCTCTCTCTCCTGTCTGTCTGTCTGTCTCTCTCTCCTGTCTGTCTGTCTCTCCTGTCTGTCTGTCTGTCTGTCTCTCTCCCTCTCTCCTGGGACTATTGGGAGAGTAACCCCTGATATGAGGTTACCTGTATATGAGCAATATAACTGTGTGTGATACCCCTAGTGCCCTGTCTGTTCTGTTCTTTCTGGCTACGCAGACGCGACAAAAAAAATTGTATTATAAATTTTTAAAACCAGACAAGTAGTTTGTTGAGGGTTGATTTGTAAAGAAGGACTACATGCCTGCGCACATATATATTCAAACACACATACCTATAGACTGAACACGTGATGCGCATGTGCGTGCCGTCAGCGTTCTCACAGGTTTGCGCAGAGATAACTGATAATCGTTCGCACATTTTTTAACATATTTCAGGGAGTGTGTTCTCGAGCCCCAGGCACTGCTGTTGTGCGAGTGAGCGGCCGGAGCGCATTAAGGGATTTCTGTTAGAGCGGTGTCGTGTTAGCGGCCTCTAAGTTAATCACTAATGATCTTTGCGACGGAAGTGAATCAATCAAAACTAACTTTAGCTGGACAATAACTTTATTCTAGAGCTGCTGTAAAGCCAAAACAATCTCTGTTATTTTCATTTCCTATTATCACTGTAAAGCTGCTTTGAAACAATCCATATTGTTAAAAGCGCATTATAAATGAAGGTGACTTGACTTCTTTTGCATGTGTTCTACTAAAAGAATATATAAAACAATGATAAAAAACAATGAACCAGTATAAAACAAGCATGATTTTCATTGGATAAACAAAGTTTAAGTTGTGTTTATGTTTGGAAACCCCCATATGACCCAGAGATTTCTGTCCATTCAATAAAAAGCATACAAAACATGGTATATATTAAGGATGCATGATATATTGAAACTTTATTCCCAATATTACAGATTTCTTCATTTTACCATCGGCTGATATTAGATATTTAATTGCGAAAGCTCATTTGACACATTTTTACATGTAGATTACCTTTGATGTCATCTAACAATCACCTAAAAGTTAATCACTAATAATTTAATTACACTGTTAAATGTAATCGTTAGCAAATCTCTAAATATATTTCCGTTTTCATACTGTACATTATAATGTTGTGATGGCTAAATTTATTTGTAGCATTTAAAACAATTGATACTAGTTTATAGCATTTTATTTAGACAATTTTAATATCGGCTTGTTGGTATTGGACCGAATTATAATATTGGTGCATCCTTCCTCAATATATATACCAAATGAAAATGAATGAGGGAATAAAATGAATGTTTACACCACAACTCACCATAGAAAAGAAAAGCTTTTGTCTGTGGATGTGAATGATAGGACCTGTTAACAGTGAAGAAGCATCTGTTGCGGCCACAGTGTCCGAGGCGTCCCAGCTCTCCCGTCAGAGGAGACCACCACACGACCACAGGGTACGGGCCCTCAGCGGCCTGTCCCGGGACCTGCCGTCTGCTGTGGGCCTGCTCAAACCGGCCCAGCTCCTCAACAACCTGCAGAGAGAGAGAGTACAGGACAGCTGAGACTACTACACACATGAGGAGGAGGAGGACAAGAGTACAGGACAGCTGAGACTACTACACACATGAGGAGGAGGAGGACAAGAGTACAGGACAGCAGAGACTACTACACACATGAGGAGGAGGAGGACAAGAGTACAGGACAGCAGAGACTACTACACACACATGAGGAGGAGGAGGAGGAGGACAAGAGTACAGGACAGCAGAGACTACTACACACACATGAGGAGGAGGAGGACAAGAGTACAGGACAGCAGAGACTACTACACACATGAGGAGGAGGAGGACAAGAGTACAGGACAGCAGAGACTACTACACACATGAGGAGGAGGAGGAGGAGGACAAGAGTACAGGACAGCAGAGACTACTACACACACATGAGGAGGAGGAGGAGGAGGACAAGAGTACAGGACAGCAGAGACTACTACACACACATGAGGAGGAGGAGGACAAGAGTACAGGACAGCAGAGACTACTACACACACATGAGGAGGAGGAGGACAAGAGTACAGGACAGCAGAGACTACTACACACATGAGGAGGAGGAGGAGGACAAGAGTACAGGACAGCAGAGACTACTACACACATGAGGAGGAGGAGGAGGACAAGAGTACAGGACAGCAGAGACTACTACACACATGAGGAGGAGGAGGAGGACAAGAGTACAGGACAGCAGAGACTACTACACACACATGAGGAGGAGGAGGAGGACAAGAGTACAGGACAGCAGAGACTACTACACACATGAGGAGGAGGAGGAGGACAAGAGTACAGGACAGCAGAGACTACTACACACACATGAGGAGGAGGAGGAGGACAAGAGTACAGGACAGCAGAGACTACTACACACACATGAGGAGGAGGAGGACAAGAGTACAGGACAGCAGAGACTACTACACACACATGAGGACATCTCACACATCTCACACTGTCTGCAGACACACACTTCTTCTACAAGCTGTTTTATTGTTAGAGAAGTGGAGAAAACTCCTATATGAGAAGTGCAATGCATCTAATAGTGAAAACATCAACCAATAATCAGCTGTTATTCATTAACGTTATATGTCAGGTTGCAAGGATGGAAAAGGGGAGATTTTAGTAAAAGGAAATACCAGGGATGAGGAAAAGGACAGAGAGTTATCCAGATGTTAGTGAGAGACTTGAGCAGATCCCGAGAGCCACCTGTGAACAAGAGACACTTTAAAGCGAGCACACTTATGGTTGTGTTCTGCATGGCCGTGTCTCAAACCCCAGTGAGCTGCTACGAGTAGGCGCGTTCACGCCACGGAATCGAGCGCGTGCACCGAAGTTTAGAGACACAGGCTCTCGCCATAACAACATTTGATGGTTAGGTGTGCAAATCTTTGCCGACTATTTAAAGCTTCATATAAAAGATAAAGTTAATATTTTACCTGAAATGTCATGATTAAAAACACAAACGCACACGCGCAGAGACAAAAAGCACAAAGTTTTTTAACAGAGATTCGCCACATGACAAATACGCGGTCCGTGAGCGTAACATTAAAAAGTTAATACTTCCAGCTTATTTGTTTTTTTCGTCTTCTTTCAAATAGGCCTATCTGCATGTTTTTATTACTGTAAATATATTGATCCTGTAGCGGCTGTCCGACGAGCGTCTTTCCGTTTAACTCATCGTCACTTCCGTTATGCGCCCTTTAAACTACAGAGAGGAAGTTGCAACGTGGGGTGTTACCATGGAAACACATGCTTTGAGGCGAGTGATGCTGAAAGTTTCAGGTTGTATTTCGTCCTTGGTTTTGCTATTTGCTGTGTGTGACATTAATGTCTATTGAAAAATATTGCGCACAACCTTTAATAGCCTATAAATATTTATATCAATTATATATATATATATATATATATATATATATATATATATATATATATATATATATATATATATATATAATGAATTATAAAAATAATGATTTACTCATGGAAGCTGCAGATGTCCTCCTGAAGATACACTACACCAGGTGTGTACAGCAGTGTTGGGGAAAGTTACTTTGAAAAGTAATGCGTTACAATATTGCGTTACTCCCTTAAAAAGTAACTTATTGCGTTACTTAGTTACTTTTTTAGAAAAGTAATGTGTTACGTTACTTTTGCGTTACTTTTTTTTCACCTGGGCTGGGCTTGTTTTTTTTATTCCAAAAAAGATATATTTTTGGGCAAATGTAAAGACCCTTTCACACCAAAAGTGAAATAATAAGCCTCAGACTGAAGAAAAAGCAGATTTACTCCTGTACAGTTGAGTACAGTAGTGTTCAGTAGAGGGCGCCGCTCAAACAAACCTTTCAGCTGCTGCTGTTCTGGGTAACAGAAGAAGAGGATGCAGGAGAAACAAATTTAACACTTACTTTACCAATAAAAAAATCTATAGTCATTTTTGCTTATGGTTTAACTGAAAAATCGGAGGTCAGAAGCAAGTACTTTGGTCAATAAAGATTAAATGCATAAAAATGTATGTTTTATTTAACATATTTAGGTATTGGAGGTTTGCATAGTGTTCTGATTCTGCATTTCACTGATTTTATTCATTTTGAGGAATATTGAATCTTTTTTGTGCAAGTGAGATGAGTAAATCCACGCTTACATTGAATCTAGAACTATAATAACCATCATGTTTACACACAACGCCTCTGCACTTCAATTTGTCTCAACATGAGGACAGAAGAGCTGTCAGTCCATAAAGGGGAAAACAAAGTAACTTGCGTTACTTTTTAGAAAAAGTAACTCAGATATTTATGTAAATTTTAAAAGTAATGCGTTACTTTACTAGTTACTTGAAAAAGTAATCTGATTACGTAACTCAAGTTACTTGTAATGAGTTACCCCCAACACTGGTGTACAGAAGTATGGGTTTGACATAATCAACGCACACCACGCGAAATATGAAGCTCCATCACAGTCTGTTGATCATGTGCTGTTCTCTAGTAATAGATGATTTGTCCTTAAACATGACATTTAATGCAATGTAATAATATACATTCACTCATATAGCCTACCTAATCTTCAGACGAAGATTGAACAAGCAGAGCAGATCATGATTCACCAAAAACTTTCGTGCTAAAATGTAGCCTAGATTTACGAACAGATTTAGGAACAACTGAAACCACACAGGCCTACACAAAAAGCACTTTCTTAATAACTATATTATATCATATTATATTAGTCTATTTTATATTATATTAGCCTATATTAGGCTACAAATTATAAAATTAATAAATAATACAATAGAATGTAGCTAATCTATATATATTTCATTTGATCCTATACAGTGAAAGCGTAAGAAAAGCTGCCATAACGCAGATGTACGCGCATGTACAGCTGGCTAATGAGAGGTCTGTATGAAAGGAGTGTATTGTGTGGTTATGATTTATGAACAGGTTTTGAGAATGAAGCTGGCATTGCTCGAGGATCTGAAAGGCTGTGCGGAAACCCTTATATGGAGATAGCTGGGCGTGTCTTATGCTAATGACTAGCCTCGTGCACGCGCCCGCTCATGTAGAGCACTGCAAATTCATGTGTTTGTGAATCCTATGTGTACAAATACGAGATAATCCACGCAATTATTAGTGAATGAGTCCCAATGTTTGAGAAAGAAAGAAATATTTTTTACCCCTAGCGTCTGTTTATTTTGTACATAGCCTACTGAATATAGCCAAGTGGCCACCTTCATTTCTACAGCGATTTATACAATAGGTTATTTTATTTCGTCATGATCCAGCTCAAGTCAGTGTTAGTTCAGTTCAGTTCAATAACTGTAAAGTTTATCAGTTGTGTAGGCTATACGCAGTGTATTTGTGCACACGTGTGTGTGTGTGTGTGTGATAACTCCTGTGTAACTACACTGCACACTGAACAAGATAGACCTACGAGAGAGTGTTTTCCATGTTTCACATCTGTGTGTAGTGTGGTGTGTATGTGGCTAATCATTTGATGTTTGTGTGTAGAGTTACTGCGCAAAAACACCACTTTTAGAAGAGTGAATATAGTTTTGAACTATAAGCGTTTTCTTTTGCAAGAGATGAGTGAAGTTTTGCATGTTGTGTGTGTGTGTGGAGGTTAGACAAAAGGAGCTATAGTTTGAGAAATTGTGTGTGTGTGTGTGTGTGGAGGTTAGACAAAAGGAGCTATAGTTTGAGAAATTGTGTATAAGCAATTACATTACAAAAAAATGTCATGTATAATAAATTAACTATTCTGTTTTGACAATTTAGTTGAATAATTAAGCAGCCGATGACAGGCAAAGCAGAATCCCAGTACAGGATTTGACTGAACGCGATACACGCTATTGACAGGCACAGGAATACATGTTTAATAGCCCATATTTTAATTGAAAATATGTTATAAGAAGATATCTGAAATGTCATCTAACTCATGGAATTATTGGGGGGGGGGGGGGGGGGGGGGGGGGGGGGGGGGATGCACACACACACACACACACACACCTGCATTAATAGATGAAGTTCACCGGGGCAACAGTGAGTCATACCTGTTTGCTGCCATGGCAACAACACAAATACTTTGAGTGTTTGTTCTCCATGTTTGAGAGGAGAAATCCTTCTCTTCCAGCGGACGACAAACACACTTCACACTCAAACACAAATCAAAGGCACATTTTTTTTTGTAAAGACTTTGCAAAATAGAAATGCTTTTGAGGGGGTTTTTTTTATATTACGAATGGCTGTTGTTTGATATTATTGTGTTTTCAATTCATAAATGTGGATTTTTTGACAAACGTATTCCTGTCCAGTCCATAACAGCAGAAGAAGAGCAGAAGATAGTGTAGTTCAGTCAGAGTGAAGATCAGCTGATGTCCACATCTCAGCATCACACACACACATGACCAGCGTCGGCCAATAGTGAGCCTGTGTGTGACGTACAGCCCAGAAGCGCTGCGCTGTTACACTGCGTGAGCTCACTCAGACCCACACAGAAGATAATTCTTAATTCTTGAAATACACCTCTGGTGCAACTCAGACACATCATCAGTGATGTATCCTGGGTTCATTGGGTGTTTCGGGTCTCACAACATCATACACCCTCGCCCAGGCGACCCAGCCAGGGTTGATCAGGCCCTGGCTTGTGTCTGAGTAGCTTGTAAGATCCACGGATCGCCCCGCTTGATCCATAGCCATCTTGACGCCTTTTCGGCGGCGTCCGTGATGTTCTTGATGGCTTTTCTGATGTGCAGTCCCTCCACTCCAAGCATCTTGAGGGCCCTAATCAGTGACTGGCCGACGAATCCTCTGCACCCGACCTCGATGGGATTACATCGGGTCCTCCACCCCCTGCTTCGGCATTCGCCTGCCAGCTCCTCATACTTGGCCCTCTTCCTCTCAAAAGCCTCCTCCATCCGGTCCTCCCAGGGAACAGTCAACTCCAGCAGGACCACTTGCCTTGTTATTTCTGACACCAGGACAATGTCTGGCCTGAGTGTGGTCACTGCGATGTTTTCTGGGAATTTGAGCTGTTTCCCAAGGTCGACCTTCAGCTGCCAGTCCTGTGCTGTTGCCAGCAGCCCCCCTGATTGCTTCAGGCGCTGGTGTGGCTTCTCCCCAGCTTTAACAAAGCCGATGTTCTGCCTTGCTGGCTGCTGGTATCTACTGCACGCGATCCCAGTGCTGATAACCTCTGCAATGACCCTCAGTACTTGGTCGTGGCGCCAACGGTAGCGCCCCTCTCCCAGTGCTTTTGAGCAGCAGCTCAAGATGTGCTCTAAAGAGCCTCCTCTCTGGCAGAGTGGGCACAGTGGTGTCTCTGCCAGGCCCCAGCGGAAGAGATTGGATGGACTGGGGAGGACATCATAGACAGACTGAACCAGGAATTTAATCCTGTGTGGCTCAGACTTCCACAATTCTGTCCACGATATTTTCCGGTCTGCCGCCTGCTCCCATCAAGTCCATGCTCCCTGTTGCCTCATCCCTACTGACCTGCTGCAGCGGACTTCTTCCACCCCAGCTCGGACCTCCTCTTGAATCAGCTGCCTTCTTTTCCTTCCCCTGGGCCTTGTTAAAGCGAGGTCTTGGATTGCTCCCGAGTCCTGCCCATCCAGATGCCACTGCCCCCATCAGCTCACTATGTCGCAGCCGTGACTCAGCCTGGTCTACTGCCTCTTGGGCCTTCCACTTCCTGCCGGTTCTGACTTCTATGCCTGCCGCAGAGACCTTGATGTCACTGGAGTCTCTATACAGTAGCACCTCCCTTGATCGGGTTACCATAAACTCTTCCTTCAGACTGCTGAAGGGCAATTTTAGCTTGTTCTTCCTCCCGTACAAGGCGATGTCACTGAGGCTTCGTGGTAGGCCTAGCCACTTCCGCAGGGAACTGCTGACTTTCCTCTCAAAGCATTCAACGGTGGTAATTGGCACATCGTAGACCAGCAGTGGCCAGAGCAGTCGGGGCAGGATGCCGTGCTGGTAGATCCAGGCTTTAAATTTACCTGGCAGGCCTGACTTGTCCACAGCCGTCAGCCAGATTACCAACTGGTTGGTGGTTGTCTGGAGAGCTGCGGTGTCCT